TTTCAACTTTTTTAAGGGATAGAAGAAACAAGTCACAGTATGTAGAATGGAAAGCCCTTTTTCATGGTTTTGGGACTTCGTAGAGTCCTAAATAGCTTTTTTAAAAAATACTTATTTTACTACTTAATATCTCCTCAATCTATCAAATGCAGAAAAGGTAAAAGAAGTACATACAATCCAGAGTTCTGCAATGCACTCCAGGACTCCAATGTTTGTATTCTTGGTTTAGTCCATGTATGAACCCAAACAATTAACTACTGTGATTAATTATGATTAAACAACTTGTGGCAATCTATTGTGTGGACTTAGCCACTGTGATTTTTCTTCAGCAGGAAGGAGAAAAGTACTTCACATTTGCTCAGTTGCTATTTTTATTATAAATGTCTACACCCCAAAGTTCAGCCTTGATATTAAAAAAAAAAAGAGATCAGGATTGAATCTAAACTGAAATTAAATGTTGGAAAAACCAAACTGATACAAAATCAGAGAAATAAATCTTAACATATTTGTTTAATTAAATTTTTGTAAATGCCCCCATCATGCTGACTCTGAGCAATGTAGAATAAAGCAGCAAGAATGCTTTGGAAAACTAAGTGCAATGTAATATGTATTACTCAAACGCCAAGAACAATCCATAAATTTTTTTTTCTGCTAATGAAACATCACCACTAAAAGAGTGGGAGATGTATAAATGTAATATTTATCCAAAGACAGACTATCTTTAAGGTTACTGTGGTTTAGAAAATAGTATTATTATAGCAACAGCATTTAGACTTATATACTGTACCACTTTACAGTGCTTAACAGCCCTCTTTAAGCAGTTTACAGGATCAGCATATTGCCCCCAACCATTTGGGTCCTCATTTTATCCACCTCGGAAGGATGGAAGGCTGAGTCAACATTGAGCCTGGTGAGATTTGAACTGCCAAATCGCAGTCAGCCGGCAGTCAGCAGAAGTAGCCTGCAGTACTGCACTTTAACCATTGTGCCACCATGGCTCATTATTATTATTAGTTAATAATACAATACAAATTAGTTTGTATTTTCTGTTTGGGAGGTCACTTAAGGCAAATGGAAGGTCATAATTCGTAATATAGAATAGCCACATAGTGCTGCTTTTTAGAGCATAGTATATATAGACAGTCCTTGCTGTAGATAGAACAAGGCAATTGACTATAGAGACAAGAACGCCCTGCGGCTACAGGGCCTATATTGCCTTGTTAATGTATCAAGCGGAATCATCCCTCCAGCGGGATACATACTTATGGTAATCCATAATAGAGATAGATAGATAGATGAGAGAGAGACAGGGAGAGAGGGAGAGAGAGAGAGACAGGGAGAGAGGGAGGGAGGGAGGGAGGGAGAGAGAGAGAGAGAGAGAGAGAGAGAGAGAGAGAGAGAGAGAGAGAATGTTCTCCGTTCTATCACTGTGGTATCAAGATGTATAGCTTGTCAGGTTGCAAACAGCCAATTACACTGCAACAGTTTAACATTTTAATAAACCACGGGAGCCTGGTTATTGTATAAAAGAAAATCATCTAGCTCAGTATCGTGCTTACAGAGGGGGTCAGATTCAATTAGATACCTTTACATAGATATAAATGTAGAGGGTAGAGATGATCAGACTTCTTCAAAGTGTTTGCAGAATGTTTGGTGCTGTACCTCACAGAACTACTAAGAGTTCTGTGGCTATAATTCTATAGCTATAATTATAATTAGCTTATTTATATAAAAGGATACCAAGTGGGGCAGTTAGAGATTGTAGTTTTATGAGAATATCTTTCAATTTGTTTCACTGAAGAAATTTAGGATCCACATGCAGTACAATTAATTTATGTTTGCTGAGAAGCAAATTGTATTGTTAAATGGAACTTTCTCACAAGAATTGCATGAAATTGTGTTAGTAAGTAATGAGATTAAAAGCTCCCTGATACCCTTCCTAGACTGACAAGAATGAAAGCAAGATTCTATTGTTTGAACAGATCTTTATCTTCCCTTTAATATTGGATTATAGTATGGACCTCATACTTAATATGTTCTCTCAAGTTGTTTCTAACACAGTTTTAAATGTGTGCCTAATCTCATTAGCACTACTTGAATTTTTAAATAGAGAACTCTCTGATATTGTAGTCACATGAAGTAACATACACACTAGGCATTTAACAGATTGTATGGTTGGATGCTGCTTCTCAAGGACTAATCTACACATTATAACTGGATGACTCAAAACTGATGTTTCAGATAAATATGGAAATGTCTGCATTTAAAGGCTGTTCCTTTGTAAGTGAGAGGCAGACAAAGTAAGCTCTGTTGGAGATGTTTGATTTGGGATGATTGCTCCAGGCTTGCAATTCACAATCTGGAATGTGTCCACACCTGTTTTTCTGCAGCTCCTGTGCATTCCTTCTTTCTCTTGCAGGAGACCCTTTTTAAACAAATGCAAAAAGATGCTGCAGCATCTTGAACTAGTCACAACTTTTCCTTTCTTTTCTTTTGTATCAAGCTAAGAGCTTTGTTCATGTAAAACATAGAACCATTGTATATTTTAGTTAATAAACTGAGCTCCAGTAAACCAAATGTACAGCATGTGAATCAACTCACTATGTAATATAAATTCATCTCTTCTTTGTGTGTAACAGTTAAACCCATGAAAACTTTTATTTAAAACATGTGCTAAAATGTTTTTGTGCTAGTCAGTTTTTTTCTTAATGATCAAAATAAAACAAAGCATAAAACAATTCTTAATTCAAGTTTTATGAAACAAGTTTTATTTTTGTTTGTATGTCTAGATTTTTTTACAAGAACTCAACATAGTATGTGTGAAGGATCTGCCTTACTTTTTCTCCCACATGTTTGGAATGTGTTGGGCTGAAAGAGAATGGCTGATCTGTAACTTAGAAGTTGCCATATGCTCGGGAAACAAAATCTTCAAGTTACATTTGATGTCTGATGACCACATGGCTACATCCATGTAGTTTGCTTTAGAAAAAAAAAAGTCAGAATTGGTGTGCTATTTGCTGTTTTAGAATTTCCCAATTATTTAGTTAATTCCACACCTTGGGATTTTCTAGTGGCTTCTCATTCCCATAATAACCAGTTCCAGTTGAGATTTTTCAGTGTTAGTTGGATGTTCCCATCTGCTAAGAGGCAGTTATTGTTTGGATGTTGCAGTTTTCTGTTGTCTCCAATGATATCTCTTGATGAGAATGGCACTATCCCTACAGGAACAATTTTGGTGGTGGGGGAGGACTACTGGATTCAGAAATACTGTTTGATGGACAGATGGAGATCAGGAAATATTTTTTTCAGCTCAAGTGGGTGAACCTTGGAATATGATGTCACAACAGTGAGTTATGCCCTCATCATACTTGCTTGGACTACTGTAATGAACTCTACAATAAGTTCCCCGTTGAAGATTATCCAGAATCTACCATTGGTGTTACACACCGATATAGGATACCGGTGTTCTGAGCTCTGGAATAGCTTTCTATTGGCTTCCAAGTGCATTCAAATGGCAGTTTTTAAAAAACTCTTAAAGCCCTACTATGACTTGGCATTGAAGTATCTCCAGGACTGCTTTTTCCACTCATTTTTAACTGAACAGATATGAAACTCATTTTTGTGAGGTGTGAAGTATAGCAAGTGCAGTCTTTCGGGGTCAGGATCTGTCTCATGGATTACCTTTCTTCCTGATATTCAATCAGCTTCCACTTTGTTAGGTTTTAGGAAAGAATTGAAAGCAAAGTTGTTTAGGAGAATATTGAGATTTTTAGGCCCATTTTTAGGAAATCTAGGAAAGGACTCACTGGAGAAGAGCCTAATGCTGGGAAAGATTGAAGGTAAAAGAAGAAAGGAACGACAGAGAACGAGGTAGCTGGATGGAGTCACTGAAGCAGTAGGCATGAGCTTAAATGGACTCCAGAGGATAGTAGAGGACAGGAAGGCCTGGTGGAATGTTGTCCATGGGATTGCGATGGGTCGGACGTAACTTCACAATTAACAACCACAAAAGGCCCATTTTTGTAATAGTTCTATCATACTGTTGTTTTAAATATTATTTTGATTGATTGTTCTTTCATTCTTATTGTCTGTAATATGGACATCGTAGGTCATCTGATGCTGTATTTTTTTTTAACCGCTATTTCTATGGATAGAAATTGAAGAAATTAAAAATAAGGTCACTCTTGAAATAGCTAAGTGATAGTATTGATTATGCCAAAAATAAATGGGAAAGCAGGAAAGCCTTAACTCGCATAAAGGACAGCAACAGCTCTCCCAAAATAAGACATCCCTTGATAATAAGCCCAATTGGGCTTTTGAGCGCATGGCAATAATGCCACGCACTTATTTCAGGGTTCAAAAAAAATATAAGACAGGGTCTTATTTTTGGGGAAACATGGTATCAAGCTGAAGAGTTCCTGGTCAAGCTTCATTCTGATATTTCTTGGAGTTCAACCCCCCTCCCCACGCCTTTTTGGGGATTCACTTTATGGCAAATGATTATCAAGCAGCTCCGACCATTCAGCACCTGACGACTCCACTATCTAGTGACACCAGTCTATGAGTCTATGGCAGAGGTGGGCAAATGTGGCCCTTTTCGACCTGTGGACTTCAACTCCCAGAATTCCTGAGAAGCCAAGCTGGCTCAGGAATTCTGGGAGTTGAAGTCCACAGGTCATAAAGGGGCCATATTTGCCCACCCCTGGTCTATGGCATTGGTTTCCAACCTTGGCAACTTTAAGCCTAGTGGACTTCAACTCCCAGAATTTTCTGGGAGTTGAAGTCCACCAGGCTTAAAGTTGCCAAGGTTGGAGACTCCTGGTCTATGAGGACAGGAATGTGGAGACGGGAATGGTCTCGGATTGAAGCCAGGGCTGCCTCGGCGCTTCCAAGGGCTCACCTTGCCGGCCGCCTCCCGCCTCCCGCCTTAGCGTGTCTTGGCCCTGCCTTCTCCCCGTCTACCGGCAGAGGTCGACCCTGTTTCTCCGGTACCGAGCTGGCTCCAAAGCGGAGCGGCGGGAGCTCTTGACATCACATCCAAGCTCCTCCTGCGCACGACCCCCTTCCAGCTCTTCAACTCCCCCCTTTCTCTTCCCCCAAACAAAACATTTCCGCTTGCGAGAGTCGGCCGTAAACCTAGCCGGGCAGGGCTGGGGAGGAATGGGAGAGGTCAAGAGCAGAAGTCGACACGACGCCGCCTGAGCAGCGCGCGGAGCCCGTCTCCCTCCGGGGCTTTTCCTTCGCCCGGCAGGAGGAGGACGCTCAGCCCCGCCGGGACCGAAGAGGCGCCCCTTTAGCCAGGCGCGCCAGCCAAATTCCTCCAGGTCTTCCCTGAGCAGCCAGCGGCTGCAAGAGGCGTGAGGCGAGGCAGGCGGGCCACGGGCTCGGGGGGCCGCCCGCTCCGCTCCGCAGAGGCGAAATGCCAACCTTCGGGTGGCAAAGGTGAGAGGCGCTCGCCCACCTTCGCTCGCCTTCGCGCGCGGAGCGGCGTGTCCCCCACAACGCGCCTCCCCCCCGCGCGCGCTCGCTCGCCCCCATGCAGACACGCGCACGGGGGGGCGAGCCGGAGCCGCCGAAGATGGCAATGTCTGTGATCCAAGCGTGCCGCAGTCTGGCTCTTTCAACATGGCTGCTTTCCTTTTGTTTCGTGCATCTGCTCTGCCTGGATTTCACCGTGGCCGAAAAAGAAGAATGGTACACGGCCTTCGTGAACATCACTTATCCGGATCCCGGGGGCGGCGGGGGCAGCGAGCTGCGTAGCGAAAAAACGGAGTGTGGCCGCTACGGGGAACACTCGCCCAAAAACGAGGTCTGGGGGCAGGTGGTGATGACCTCGGCGACCGCTGACAGGCAAGCTTGCGACCCCAACGCTCGGTTCGCCGTGCCGGGCTCCGGCAAGCTCTGGATCGCCCTTGTCCCTAAAGGGAACTGTACTTACAAGGACAAGATTCGGCACGCCGCCTCCCAAAACGCCTCGGCCGTGGTCATCTACAACGTCGGCTCCAGCAATGCCAACGAGACGATTACGATGCCCCCCGCAGGTGAGTGGGAGGCACAACCTCCCCCCCTACACACACACACACACACACACACACACACACACACACACACACACACACACACGTTCGTCTGCACGTCTCTGTTGGAGGATTTCACTTCTGGACTCGGTTAAGGCTGCCAAATAGCCAAGGAGGTTATTAATAGCCCAGGCTTAGCCCTGTGTAATATCCTGAGGTCTGGCTACGTGCCTGTCTTATTACAAGGCAAGATCTAATGACCCTCTTCCTTGTCTTCAGTGTTATCTTGAAAAGTGGAGCAGTGAAAGTGGGAGAAATTGACCAGGCAAAGTGTTGGGTTGAATGACAGTAGATGCAAGGAGGTTTTTCAATGGACAAAAACCTATCAAGGGAGGGCAAGGTCAGGTGGGGCAAGGAAAGATGGGGGTTGCACAATAGGCTAGTCTAGTGTGTCCCACAAGATGCTAACACATAGCTAACCAAAGCTTGGTTTAACTGACTTTGCACAATGCAATGAAACATCAACGTTCATTCATAAATATTGGTGGGATAGCACAATATACTGAGTCACAAGATAGCCATACACGTTGTAGCTGAACATGTTAAACAAACCTTGTAAATGTCCTTGGTTTATGGCTCCCTAGCTTGTATGAAACCAGATAATGTATTTTAATCAATCACTGCTCATTAAACATTGGTAGGATGTGAACACAGCCTTTAAAAACTGTTAAAGACATCAAGAAGCTCACCAGGAGTAGATTGAACAGGAAGTAGAAACAAGTAGGAGCTTTGATGGAATATCGTGCACTTTATAGTGGAGTAGAGGGAACATACATCAAGGTTAAGACAGAGTACCTATTGGAATAATGTTGGAAAAGCTGCAGTTTATCTTCACTCTTTTATGCCATTGTTTTCAACCTCCCCTTCAAACTTAGTCAATTGGTCTGTAAACAGTAAAATGATCACTAGGATTATTGTGCTAAATTATTCTCTTTTTTTAGGTTGTTCATCTTCTAAAGTATTTCCCAGCAACACAGAGTTGTAAATCTCAGTTGCAGAAACCAATAAGGAGTAGCTGTGTTGACTGATACTGTGCTTTTTGATGCAACATGGAAAGTTTGAAAGTTCTGGGCCACTTCCTGAGTTCATGGGTTTGTGGTTTCTATGCTGAGTAGCAATAGTGTAAGCAGTTTTAGTGGCTTCTTTGGCTTCTGTTACTGTAGTTGAGAAGAAGCTGTGCTACGCCAGGAATGCAATTAGATTAATTACTGCTGCAAGATTTTACTTGGGAATTGCAATCTTAGTACAATTCCTGTGTTTCAGGGCTAGAATAATTTATCTAATTTCATTCATAAACATACACACACACATACAAAGTATATATTTCCCATCAAATATCTCCATATATAATGTAAGCCTTTGTGTTATTTATCACTTACAACACAATATTGAAGTTATGTGATAATGCTTCTGGATATGGTCTAGTTTGCTGTAGTGTTAGAAAATGTTGTAAAATACCATAGTTACAATTTTAAAAGTTATGTAAGTCATAAAAGGTCCATGCTATGTATTTACTTAAATACTGTTCTTAGGACAAACTGGAGCTTACATGTATACACAGATAACACCTGTGACTGCTTCTTCATGGACACTGTCCTAGTGAGCCAAGGACATTTTGCTTTTTTATAATTTAAAAAATAACTTTCTATTCACAGTCATATGCCATTTTAAGATATTTCTGTATCCTATTTTCTTGCCAAACCCGTTTCATATTTGTTCGCAAAATAAGAGTAAATATGAAGTTTATTCAACGGTGAAATAAAAAAGGTACTCAGTAAAATAGCCTTCCATAGTGTTGCAGTTATTCTTCAAATCGGAGAAATCTATTAGACAAAATTACATTTTTTCTTTTAAAACAGAAGCATTACATATATAGATCTCATTGGATTTATTTCTAGTTAAATGACTTCAAAGGCGGGTAATAAAGTTTCCTGCATTACAATAATTACTGTACAGGCAACATGAAGGTATTTTATTGATTCAGTCTCCTGTTTTCCTCAGAAACTAAACTTGTGTTTTAGATAAGGAAATTGGGAAGTACAGTATTTTTTAAAAAAACAAAATGTGTCACTTTTATGCTTTCTAAGCATTACTAAAACGTTATAATAGCAATATATTTTTATATTACTAATTTCAGTAACTCTAATATAACAAATGACAGAATGCTACATCACTCCTTTATGTTCATCTCTATTTGCACTTTGATTTTTTTAACAAGGACTATGACCAATTTTTAGACACTAAAAGCTGGTTCAGTTCATTGGTTTTAGATTGTAAATAAAATACTTTGACAGATAAATAGGAAACCATGTGCGCTGAGAATATTTAACAAAAATGTAGGTTTAAAAGTTAGAATGATATCCTTTTCCATATAATTTCATATAGCTTGTATTGTAAAAAATATTTTACCATTTCTCTTTATAGTGAGCTGCCATGAACTGCCATTCATAATTCACAGCTTTTGAATGCTTTTTTAAAGTTAATCTGTCTTAATTTTATGGACATATGCAAATATGTTTAGTAGTTCTCTGCGTTAAAAAAAGGATAATTATTTCAGTGACCTTCACTGTAATCCTGTAGTACAGATGATATTACATTCATATTGTATATTTTGAAACAATAGACAAGTCAGTATTATTACTTAGAATCTAAAAGAGCACAAGTAGAATTCTGCAAGTATAAATTCTGTATTCCGTAACTCCTCCTGTCTGTTCCTGAAAGGCTTTCACAGGATCCAGTCCAGTCTAAAGAGCTGCAGTAGCTGGAAAGGAATTTGAAGTTGTAAACATCCCAAGAGCAGGAATTATGACAAGTATTCCAGCATTACTCTTGAATATACAAAAATGATCATCTTCACAGACTTGTGAATTTATTCATGGCTAAAAGAAGACTTTATGTTATTGGCAGGATCAGTCACCAATACAACAATTGCACAAGCTGGGAAAACTACATTAATCTATGAAAATTCAAATACATTATAGCAGTGTTCCTTTGAACTCAATTTGTTACATGATACTGTTTAAAGAATAAGGCAAAATGTCAATCCTGGACAATTAAAGACGTTACAACAGAATATCAGTGTGCTTATTATGTGCAAGATGCTTAACCTGCAAGGATGTGATGGAGAAAACTAGACAAGTATCAGGCTTGAGACACTTAAACTTATCTCACTTTACAGCAGTCCTAGTGAAATTTGCTACCTTAAATGCTGTTGCCTATAAGAGGAAAGCTGTCACTGATAATCAAAGTGCATTCCTAGAGAAATTAGTTTCAGATCAAGGGAGGGAGAGAGAGAGAGGGAGGGGGGAGGGAGAGAGGGAGGGAGAGAGAGGGAGGGAGGAGGAGGAGAGAGAGAGAGAAAGAAAGAGAAAGAGGGAGAGACACTTTCTAGGCAAAGGCTCGGTTGTCCTTCCTTGCTAAACCATGCTATAGATTGTTAGTGATGTCTGATTCTAGGCATTGTGATTTGCTAGCAACAGCTTATGGTTAACTTTCCTGTATGAGTCAGGCAATTATGGTTTATACAATAAGTATGGATAATACAAAAGCTAAATGTAGTGGGAAAGCCACATTTTGAAGTTCCTTGTCAGTTTCATCTTGATGGTAAATTTTCTTTTAGTCTTGAAGCAAAGCTGATTCTCATTATGCCTATTTTATTGCACCCATATCCTAATTCCTGCCTTTTTAAAATAGAACTTATATCAGTGTCATTTGTTCAAAAAACACAGACAGCATTTTGTACCATTCCTAGTAGTGTCTGTTTTTGGCATTTCTGATTATACCAATTCTCATAGCTACTAGCGCTGACATAATATATTGCAGACTTATTCTCATATGGAAAGCATTACAGTGGAATGTTCTTCCACATTTTCCCCATTTCTGCCAATGACTCCCCAGATAAAAACAATAATGCTGTCTCTGAAAATGTCTACTTGTGTTGTGCGGCATATTTGTGTATGGGAAAAGAAAACTTTATGTTCACAGGGTTGAATACTTTAGCCAGTTAACTTTGAATAGTAGAGCAGACAAATGCATAATGCCAAATAAAATAAAATAAAAATCTTAAACCTTTCACATGGATAATGCTATATTTGTTAATCTTTTTACAGATCACTTCTTATAATAGCCCTGAAGTTAGTTATTAGCTGTTAAAACTTGTGAATTATCCAGCTTCATCATCTTACAGGATTCCATATCATCTTGATATGGAAGGATTTGTTAGCGTCAGTGAACTGGAAGTCAAGCTGCCAGAAGCTTCCAGTAGTGCTATTTTTCCTGGCAAGGGAAAGGTGAAGCTAAAACAATCCACAATAAAGGTGCAAAATGTTATTTTAAGAAAACCAGAGAAATCACAGGGCAATTTACAGCTATGATAAGAGTATTTGAATAATCATGGAAGAAATCTAAGAGAAGCAAATGGAATTGAAAGAAGAAGGAAACTCTTTACAAACGAGGTGGAAAAAAAACAAACATTTGCAGAGAAAGAGTATACACTTAAAAGTGAGATAGTGTAAATAATAGACCAACTGCCAAATAGAAAAGCACCTGGTGCAACTGAAATGCCCAAAAAACTGATTAAAGCTGCAGGAGAAATGCAGATCTGAGTCAGCAGTATAGTGTAAGATTGTATGGTCCAAACATTGGAAATGATTAGGGAGTAGAGTTAAATGCAAGAAGGCTGATACTAGAGATTGTAATTGACTAAACTATTCTACTGATGTCTCATGCAAGCAAGCTTTTGATTCAGATAAATTTGAGCCATTCATGGGAAGAAACATTCCAAATGTACAGTCTGCTTTCAAAAAGGTAGAGAGGTGTGGTCAGATAGTTAATGTAAGGTGGAAGAAATGAAGAAAACAAAACAAGAAACATTTTGTACCTTTATTTTTAATTGAAATAAAGGTACAAATAAAATAAAGGCTTTTTATTATATAGATTATGCCATAATGTAGATTATCTATGAC